ACAGCGGTTTCATGTAAATGTTAAATAGTTAAATAGTAGGGGGGATAGGACCGACCCCTGCGGCACCCCATAGGTTAGGGGCCTCAGGGACGATCTCTGCCCCCCCACTAACACCGACTGCGACCTGTCCGAGAGATAGGAGGAGAACCACTGCAAGACAGTGCCGCCCACCCCTATCTCCCGCAGAGAGAGCTGCAGGAAGCCATCACAGCCAAAAACGGAGCCCTGGGGGATGTGCACATCCTTCCCTGAGCTCCATTTTATCTGGCAGAGGCACCGTGGGCCAGTACTTTGCTGTTTCCAAGGCAGCCCTGCTGCCAGATCAAAGCACTCCATGGGCCAGATCTGGCCAGTGGGCCTTGAGTTTGACACCCTGCTCTACGTGATCAAATCACTCCAACAAACTTCTTACATACTTGTCAGTTATTCTTATGTTTCACTCAGATTCATTCAGCACCCATTCATTCTTGCTTTATCACCCACACATCTTTGACTGCATTTCAGTTTAACTTTTGTTTGTTCTAACATACCCAATTTTCCATTCCATGTCACAAAGTGGGCAGAGTATATTCTTATAAGCAGCTACTTTAAAAAAAAACATCCAGTTTGTTAAAAACACACATTCCCTATTACTTTTCTACCAGCATTTCCATATTTTAAAATTTCTACATCCATTTTCCTATTTTTAGGAAACACTCTACTGTTCACAAACTCATTTATTGGCTCCAGTGTTTCAAATTTATACTTAAGTTAAAGTAGCTCATTACATTTTCTCTGTCAGACAAAATTACCTTGGTCTTTGATGCATTAGTTTTCTGATATATATATCCCTTTGGTTTCATATAATCTGCCTAATATTCATTACAAATAATTTCTCAGGCTCTCAGCAAACAACATGGTATTATATGTATATAAAAACATATGGATGTTTATCTTCTGACCAACACAGTTCTAAAATTCAATAAGCATTCTTTATACAGTTATGTATAAATCTCAGTGAAAGAGACAACACCTCTCTATCTTATTCTCCATTCGGTATTGAACCATTCTCTTAAGTATACAGTAAATCACAAGATTCAATCAATTTTATCTCATGTTCACTCCTTCATCAATTATTAGCTAAAGAACAAAACCATTCTGCACATCCTATGACAGACATGAACCTGCACAACAAATATTTTGTTTACTTTTTACATCCTTTCTATCTACCATCAAACACCTTTCCTGTTTAATTTACAGTCCAGATATACGCATCTGAGATTGTCACTGGTATTACTCAAATTCTGAATGATTAAAATAATAACTTCAATTCCCTTTTCACTCCAAATATTTGCTGTTTTATACTGATTTAAAAAAAAAACCTTTTAGAAACCCACCATACTCAACAAACCTTTGTGGTAGGCCTATTGGAAGAAAAGCAAAAAACAAAACAACCAAAGTAGACTATACAATGGTTAATATGTTCGTAAGAATATTCTCGGTATTTTCAGACACTGAGCCTTCTGGATTTTATTTCCCATGCAGCCATATAAGTGAATGTTTCTCCTATTCAGAAGCACAGGGCGAGGATATGCCTACACAGGAAACAGAAGATAATGTGTCAATGTTAAAGCTGGTATGTTCCATTTCAGAGGGGAGAATGGTAAAAAATAACTGTTGCAATTGTTATTTTTTTGGAACGAGAGGCATCAATGTGTTAAAAAGGTAGATCCACAAGTAAGAACTATAGTTATGAATTCAAAAAGTGATTGTAAGCCATTCTTATAGCATAATCAGGTATTAAAATAGCCAAATCATAATAAATTAGTGTCCTTCATGAGCCATGATTCATAGTTTGTAAATCATACTTTAGTTATATGTAATCTAGGCGTTGATGGTTTTTCCACCAATCATGGTTAAAATAATCCATAGTTTAGTATATCTAATTAACCATAAATGTCTAAATCCACACAAATGATTATCAAATTTAACCATAATATATAGAAGCAGGAGGGGTGGTATTCACTTATCTTCCCTACCGGTTCGCAAATGAGAGAGTGCTCACTACTCTCGCACGTGCCCCTGCTGTGCATGTGCTTTGGGTAAAAAAAGTGCCTAAATGAAATAACATAGAATGGGGGCGGGTGGATGGGGCCACGCACGATTTCGTTTACCGGTTCGGGTGAACCGGTCTGAACCAGCAGAATACCACCTCTGGGAAGCAATGTAATTTCAAGGTATGGTTTCTTTCTGTAAGAGCCTGAAGACTTGCATCAGGTTTGGGGACCCCATGGGAAAATACTGAACTGAAGGTGATTATTAGACTAACAACAGATCCCACCTTCCTCCCTGGGCTTCCCACTCTCTCTCTCCACCCATCTTTTAATTCATATTGTTGTGTAGATATCCCTCAACTTACGATTACAATTGAGACCAAAATTTATGTTGTTAAGTGAGCATTTGTTTAAGTGAGTTTTGCCTTTTCTTGCCACATTTGTTAAATGAATCACCACAGTTCTTATGTTAGTGACAGGGTTATTAAGTGAATCTGGGTTGCCCATTGACTTTGCTTATCAGAAGATCAAAAAAGGGGCTCATGTGACCCTGGGTCACTGCAACCCTCATAAATGTCAAATGCTTGAGTCAAGCATTCATTCGAATGCAAATCCTGTGACCGTCGGGATGCTGTAACGGTTGTAAATGTGAAAAATGGTCCTAAATCACTTTATTCAGTGCTGTAACATTGAACAGTCACTAAATGAACTCTTGTAAGTCAAGGACTCAATGTATTTTCATTATTTTTTATGGTTTCATTGTTCCTATTCTTATTATTTGTATATTTGTTTATAATTTTACATTCTACTGTTGTACGCCTCCCAGAATATTCACACACACACACCACGGCAAGATGGGCCACAAACACATTTAATAAACAAACAAACAACAAACAAACAAATAAATAAATAGTTTCTGATTCAGGTTACCATCCGCCTGTGTCTCAAAGTTTGAGCAAAACTATCAGCCACTTTAAACCACCATTCTGAGATTGCACTTAACAAGAAGTCACTGTTAGCTGAAAATAGAAGCAAAAGTATGCCAGAGGACAAGGAGAATGCATTCTGTCCTCAGGCAGGCAGTGACTAAATATAGATTTTTATGGCTTTAAGATTGAGGCAGCTCTTTTGTCTTCATTTCGTTTACTGTTAATCATGATGACGGTTCAAAGCATACCAAAAATCTTCTGCACTTTTCTGTGATATTTGGATTGATCTTAATAAAGTAATAAATTATTGCTGATGCACATGGGTTATTGCTGATCCATGCTGGATGTTTGAGAAAGTCAAATAACAAAAATAAATTACTATGTGCTTCGTTGATTATATAAAGGCCTTCAATTGCCCTAACCATGTCAGGTTCTAGAATATGCTTAGAAAAAATGACAACCCAGGAACAGCTTATTTTTCTCATGAGAAACTTACATGCAGGTCAGGAAGCCAGTCTGGATAAAATGTGACTTCAGATTGGCAAAAGAGTGCAACCAGGCTATATTTTCTCCTAGGTAGTCAGTTTGTGAAATTTTGCTGCACCCACTGATATTTTCACATATCAATGCCTTGGTAAGGCCACACATGGAATACTGCATTCAGTTTTGGTCACCACGATGTAGAAAAAATGTGGAGACTCTAGAGTGCAGAGAAGAGTGCAGAGAAGAGCAACAAAGATGATTAGGGGACTGGAGACTAAAACATGAAGAATGGTTGCAGGAACTGGGTATGTCTAGTTTAATAGAAAGAAGGACTAGGGGAGACATGATAGCAGTGTTCCAATATCTCAGGGGTTGCCACAAAGAAGAGGGAGTCANGTTGACTCAGCCTTCCATCCTTCCGAAGTGGGTGAAATGAGGACCCAGACTATGGGGCTGATATGCTGACTCTGTAAACCGCTTAGAGAGGGCTGAAAGCCCTATGAAGCGGTATATAAGTCTTAACTGCTATTGCTATTGCTATGAAGCGGTATATAAGTCTAACTGCTATTGCTATTGCTATGAAGCGGTATATAAGTCTTAACTGCTATTGCTATTGCTATATGCAACATAATTTACAAAACTAGAATTTTTTACCAGATTGATTGTCAATTAATCTTCAATTCTTTATTCAATTAGGCTAATCAAGGTGAAGTTTACATGTCTATAACTTGGGAACTTCCTGAAGCTGTGTCGTTTGCTTTACAAGGCTATCCACTCATTTCCCTAAAACTATCTCCCAATGTCAAAAAAAATAATGAATTTTTCCCAGACGTTCAACTACTGCTTGATCCAGATCTCACAAAAACAAATGTAGAGGTGAGGAACTATTGTATTCCTAGATATGTTCTAGAAAACACGAAGAAAGAGAAAATAATTCTGAGAAAGTTATTTGTATCTGAGGTCCACAGCAAAAGTAAGCAGCAAAAATGATTTTTTGTTTTCTATAAGTTTATCTGGATATTGACAAAGATTATTGGAAGGAATTGTGAAGCACTTGGTTGCCTTTCTCTGTGTTGTTTGTCTTTGATTGTCCATCTGTTCTGGTCAGCTATTCTTTCCCAATCAATGTCCTTCAGATGCTTTACTTTGTGTATTTTTCAGCTACCTCCTAAGATTGAAGTGAAGTGCTTTGATTTGTTAAAAGTAGAAGGTTACAGTTTGTTAGCTACTGCAAGTGCAAATGGTTCTATCATCATATGGGATTTTGAAACTGCCACAGCCAGACATATGTAAGTACAACACTTTATCATATAATGGATGTGGAGAGACAGTGCTAATGTCCAGTTATCCAAGATAAATGATGTTTTAGTGTCCAGTCTCAAAACAGTTCCCAATGTGAGAAAAGGAGAAATAGAAATATTAAACTAAGAATAAGCTACTGGAACTCAGAGACAAATATGAAGATTGTTGATTAATTATTGGTAAATCCCCCCCAAATCCTGTTTATAATGACATGCTTAGTTGAGTCATAGATGAAGCTATAGTATCATCCAGTCAACGTAATCAATGGTTTTAGACAAAACAGCCCAGGATAGACTTGGGTTTAGCTCTCTTTCCAAAATCAACCATATTTTGAAAAGAGAAAAACCTTGAGATATTTTTTTTACATTCTATCCCTGGTTTGGAAACAAACTAGACTAATCTCACAAAAGAGGACTGATCTAGGAACTCCCTGTCCCTTATTAATGTACTTTTAATACTAGTCCCATATGAGCATACGAGGTGGGAGTGAAAAAGAAGCAGGAAAAGGAGATAAAAATTCCCAACTCTCTCTGCTAGTGCTGCTGCTGATCTTCATTGGGCCACCATAGATTTTTTTTTTCCTACAATCAAGAAGTGGCAGGAAGCTATAGATTCCTAAAGAGATTTTCAAATGTACTTTTCCCTCTTTGACTGAGGCAACCCTGGAAGCATCCAGGACTGAGTAATTTCTCTAAGATAATCAGCCATTTTGTGTCAACACAGCCTCACCATACATGAACTGCCATTCAGGATTGGAGCTAGGAGACTTTCTTCAGCTCGCGCTCTCTCTCCCCTCCCCAGTGTGAGTGGTAAAAAATGGATTGTCAGAAGTGAAGATCTTAATTATTGTCTCCTGTGCATAACCTGAGTCAGAGAAATAGCACTGAATGGATGAGATGCATAGAAGAGGGAACTTTAGCTCAGTAAAGGGCAGTGCGGTTCAGCAACCTATTTGCCTCCATCCAGGCTTTATTCACTTGGGCAGAGCACTGTGCCAATTATCTTGTTCTTGCTTGTTCAGAGGGGAGAGGGGGGAAAATGTTGGTTAGTTTTGCTGCAGTATAAGAAATAGTTGAGTTTCCCATCTCCAAGAGTTTCAGTGGAATTGTTCTCTTGAGCATACGTTAAAATTCTGCACTAAAGGCAGAAGAAATAACTTTGGCTTTCTGTATCCTATTTAGCTGAACTTCAAAACCATTTCCCCTGCAACCACAGTTCCTGTAAATAATTTCTTTGCTGCTTCATTCTTCTCTCCTTCAAAGGATATTTATACAAAGAATGGTTCCCAGACCATGCCCTTATTTTTTCACCAGTTTTGCTTTTAATCTACTTCATGTTGAAAGTCTCTTGGAAATGCTAATTGAGATTGCTTCCCTCCCACTAAAATGGATGAATAATTCTTATCCCCTGGCTAAGAAAGCAAAGCTTCAAAAGAGAGATAAATTGATGGGCCCAAAAGCAAATGTCTTCTTTTGAAAACCAGTCCCAAAGGACAGTTGAGTGTGTGGGTGGGTGTTTTTAAGTCAGAAGAGCTCGTTCTTAGAATTATGGGATTTTAAGCAGCACAAAAAAGTTATCCCGAGCACAAACAAGATTTTTGCAGAAGTAGGTAGGTATTTGTCATTTAGGCAAATTTTATTGAGTTCACTAAAGGTCTATGTATTATTGAAAAGCTAAATTTGGAGATTTGGTAGTATAAAGAATGAATTCTCTTAGTTTTAATTGGAGATTTTCAACCTGGGGGAATTCTATATTGGCAGTCTATGAATTTTTGAGATGACACAATTATTTGCACTATCATTTTGAAACCAACATGAATTTGAAAATATGAAGCCAACTTACAAAGTTTTTAAAAAGTATTATTATTCTGGCCCTACTTTGAGGGAGGAAAGATGTACTATTTAACAATATATCTAACAAATGTGGAAAAAACTACAGACAAAGTATCGGCATTTTCAGGTTTAAAACTCAGAATGCTATTCATGCAGATAGACCTGGATTACTTAAAACCAACTGCTTACTATTCCTGTATCAAGATGTTATCACTGAGAGGTAAGTCAATTTTTTATGAGACATGTATACATTATGGTAGCTGGGCTAAGAAGCTGTACTATTTTTCCTTTTGATAAAGTTGGGGGAGGGGAAACTACCATATTTTTCAGAGTATAAGATGCATCTTTGTCCCTCAAAAAAGAGGGTGAAAATCAGGCTGCCTCTTATACATTGAATACAGCATTTCTGGCCTCCAAAAACTCTGCCCCCTTTGCAAAAATGGCCATGCATAGCCTTTAGTAGACCTCCAGAGTGCTCCTGGGGGCTGGGGAGAGCAGAAATGAGAAAAAAAGTCCATTTTGCCTCCCCCTGCCCCCAGGAGCACTCTGCAAGCCTTGTAAAGGCTATGCATGTCCTTTTTTGACAAGAAATGGGCCAATTTTTCCAAAATTTGCCCCAATCTTTGCTCGTTTTGGGCCCCCTAGCCCCCAGGAGCACTCTACAAGCCTCCTAAAGACTATGCATGCCCTTTTTTTGACAAAAACCAGGCCCATTTTTGCAAAAAAAAATGGGCTGTTTTGGGGAGGTCTGCAGAGTGTAAAACCTTTTTTTTAAAAAAAATGCCTCTTCAAAATCTTGGTGCGTCTTATACACCGGCACATCTTATACTCTGAAAAATACGGTATATTAGTCACATTCTGTTAAATTCCTAGTTATCTGAAGTTGTTTTGTAGTCCTAAGAGAGTGTAGACATCTCTATATTACTTTGTTTCTTGAGCAATGCTTCTTGTAACAAGAATTAGTAGGCAGAATATGATATTGGATAGCCAATGTGGATCCCCATAAATCAGTTCAGATTTTCACTATTAATGGCCACTGCTTGTTAAGGGAAAATGTTACTTTGCATGTTGTTACATGGAATGGAACAACTTACCATGGTCAACTCGTCATGGCCAACTGGCCACGAGACAACTTGCCACATGACAATTCAATGAATATAAAAGTTAAATTAATTTCAATGGAACTCTGGTCAATAATAATGAAAGAAAGTCAATCCAGAAATACAAGTTACAAAAATTTCAATGAAAATATGGTCACCAATAATAAAAGTAACTAAATGAAATGATTAATAACACTTAGTTGTCCTATGGCAAAGTTGGCTGTGGTGAGTTGTCCTAGACACATCCTTATATGCATGGACCTCTCATACTATTTCTTCTTGACATTAGCAGTGTTAATTCAGAGTGCAAAAAAGGACAAAAAACAGTAAGGACTAAAATTTAAAATTATTAGGTTAAAAGACAAATAAAACTTCCCTAAACTAGTTTCATACAAATCACTGAATTTCTCCATACTTTCTATCCTTGCAAACTATGTGCATACTTCCATTCATACAGTGTCTTATCATGGCTTTCTTTTTCAGGATTTCATGAACTTTATCCAGTGATAACAGTCTCCCTCTTGATCAGTTGACTTACTCACTTTTTCTTTCTAGATTTGTTTTTCAATTTAAGTCTTCTTAACTCTCTCTACATCAGAGATGTCACTCAGTTTCATTGAGGGCCACATCAGGGTTATGTTTGACCTTGCGGGGGTGGAAGGGTGTGGCCAGGAGGGGATGGCCAGTGTGTGCATGGCCAGATTGATGTCACTCATGTCTGGGGCACCTATGGTGGCCAGGGCAGGGAGCCCCCAGANCTTTTTCACTTTTTCTTCCAGTAGCTTGTCAGCTCCATGCCCTGGTTGCCTAGCAGAGGGAACTGAGCCATGTAGCTCATTTTGCACAGAATGCCCAGGAGCCATAGCATCCAATGGAACCCTTATTAATCCGGGTGATGGTTCAGCCGGAATAAATTTCATTTTTTTTCATATTCACCATATTTGTATGGGTTGTGGAGCAAATTTTATCTGGCCCTTCACCTAAGACCTGTCTGATATGGTTGCACCTGTTCAGTATATCCCTTAGGATCATTAGAGCATGCAAACCCCTATACCACGACAAGATAAAGCTTGGAGGGGTTGTTGTTGTTATTATTATTATTATCATCATCATCATCACATTTATTTGCTGCCCATCTCACTGCTCAAGATGAATATGAGTAGCTAATGACAGCAGGTACAACAAGCCTTAGAATTGAGAATGGAATTATTGCGTAATCATGACAATAAAGGAACAAGCAGTCCAGAAATGTTAACACACTAGCACCTGGTAGAGCAGCCATGAAGGCTTTGGAAATCTTGATGTGTCTGTATTGATAAAGATCAGTATAGTGCAAGCCATGGTATTCTCCAAAACTCTCACTCAAGTCACAAATGATCAAGCTAAAATTGTCTTACTCTAGACACATTATGTAAAAACTAAGTTCTCTGTCATATACTCCAAATGTTGGAAAAGGTAGAAGGAAAAAGAAGAAAAGTATGATTAGCAGCAAGGTGGATGGACTTACTTGCATCATTGGAAATGTATTGTTGGAAGGTCTAAAAGATAGCTTAGGGACAGATAGAGACACAAAATGTATGTGGTCACTTAAGAATCAATATTAATTTGACGGCACATAATTTTAACAAAGCCTGCTGTGAATAAGAAATCTTTGTTATTGCACTTTCTTATATTTTCTTGAGATTATTTCATCCAAGTTTACGTACATTTTCTGAGTATTCTAATTCAACCACAGGGATTCTGTTCTGGTATTTGTGGACATATGCATAAGAAAAATAAAATAAAATAATATAAAAATGGTAGCTGCAATAGCAATAGCATGCAAAATGAGCGCTGAGCTTATGCCCAGGGAGAATTTTCTCATGGTGATAATATTCCTCAACTCAATCAGGACATCTCTAATATTGCCATCATTTCTTTTTCATCATAACTGAAAAACTGTTTATGAAATTTTGGAAACTAACAATTTAAACCGTTACACAAAATTTGACAAATGAAATCAAATAACAAATAAAAAAATTACATGCAATTTATCATGATGAAGCATGCAGATAAAAATAAATATAGGGTTGGAATAATTCTTAGAAGCAGCAAGAATAGACTATAAACTTCCATAGACCTGTATTTTTCAAGTAAGAATCAAGTACAGGAATGAATCTGATGGAAACAGGAGTTCAAGCTTCAAACAAACCTTCCCATCTATTATATAGAGGGGAGCAGGACAGTGAAGCTTTTATTTTACTTCGATAGAGAATAGGGTAAAATAATTTGTATTAGCCTAAAGTTCAGCACTACTTCTGTATTATTTTCTCTGCTGGTAGCATTATTACCTACTGTTACCAAAAGTGAAATGAGATGACTGATTGGTACAATTCTTTAAAGAAATCAGCAGCAGAAGGAGCATTGGTCTACTGAGAATTTTAGTAAGCATATGGGATTTTGGAGTGTCTAAATTTGGGGGTGTAATTATTTTGGCCATTTTAAATTCTCAAAGCCCTTTAATGCAGGCTAGAAGAACATTCAGCCTACCTTGTAGGCACATACTCTGGAAAATTCATGTTTTAGTTAATTATGAGAACATTTTTAAAAAGATGGTGTTTTCTTTACTGAAAGTAATCAGCAAGATTAATTTAAATTTAATTTGGATTGAAAAAACTAATTTCTAAATTTCTGTTGTTTGATTTCAGAATAACGTTATAAGAGACACGGTTGGTACAACTCTTTCAGGTATGAATCATAATAATTTTAGTTCCTTTACACCAGGGGTGTCCAACTCGATTTCATTGAGGGCCACATCAGGGTTGTGCTAGACCTAAGGGGGCTGGGGTGGGTATGGCCAGAGTGGGTGTGACCTGCTCGATGTCACTCATGTAAGGGATGCCTGTGGTGGTCCGAATGCTCTGCCAACGAAAACGGCCCCCCGAGCTCTGTTTCTGGCTGCAAAGGACTCCTACAACCCTTTCCCAGCTAAAACAGAGCTCGTGAGGGCCACACACGGACCGCTCCCTTACTGTTTCCAGGATGGCCGTGTGGGCCAGATCTAAGCACCCCATGGGCTGCATCTGGCCCTCGTGAGTTTGACACCTGTGCTTTAGACAATAAACTGTATTTTTGAGAGTATGTTTAAGAAACTCTTTTAAAAAAACTGCAACAGCTAGGTTATTTGAGGTTACTTCAATGACAAGCATGGAAAATTACATTTAATACTTCTGTATCAGAAGTGCTGAAGTGCTTGAAAGGTGGACATAGATACATTAGATAAATCTAATGATATGACAAATAATTATATTCAAAGAAAGAAAAACATGTATATTGTTTGTTGAATCATGTTCTGCTTCAAAAAAAACAACCCTCCACATTCTTCCCCTTCAGGAAGCAAAGGAATAATTTCCACAAGTTCTATATGAATTCCAAAGGGAAAAATTTGAAAAATTTATTTCATAACACACATCTTAACCTTGATCTTGAAAAGCTACACAGGGTTTGAATTGATTAAATGGAAAATCCCTATGGAATCCTAGGAAACCGAGAAGTTGAAAAATAAATATGAAAATAAAGCAATGGCATACTTTTTTCATGTTGTTGCCAAAAACATGTTGTTGACTTCATGGGGTCAACAGGATTAAGTTTGAAGGATTTCCATGAAGTTAATAGGATTAAATTTGACTTGATAGAGACTTGATTATTTATGTAATAACATTCTTGATGGATTTTATGTCAATAAAATTTAAGTGAATAGTGGAAATAGAGTATGCTAATACATCTCATAATAGAAAATGAAAAACAAGTTATATTCAAAGGAAGAAAAATATGAATGCTGTTTGATTGATGAATTATCTTCTGCTTTAGATACTTCCATAATCAAAGGAGCAATACCCAATGTATTGTCAGTTGGAAAAAATGCTTATTGTACTATACCCATACTTGCCTCAGCACATGAAAATGGTTTCATTTATCTATGGAGCATTACGGTAAGTCCTTTTATGGAACTGGACTGAAGTAGTGAAGAAGAGTTTTCCTGTGATCATGGAGACAGCAGCCAGATGGGTATGTTCCGCCCAGCAACCAATTGGACTGAGTCTACACTTATGATGTCATCAGTCCCTTGTGGCTCCTCCACAGTTTCAGATTCAGTCCAACCAGGACTAGCTGAGAGAATTGATCTCTCCTCCAAATTTTACCTTTATTACTTTAATTGGAGATTTTTTCCCTTGAATTGGCTTTTTAATTGAATTTTTTTCTTCTGACTGAATTGGAGGAAAATTCAAAACTGCTTTCTGGCTGCCTTTCTTCAGCTGTCTGACAGCCTGCGGCCACGAGTTCACCTAGGAAGCCTGCCTTGCAGTCAGATCGGCCAACTCACGAACTACGGCTCCACAGCTGTTTCCCCGCAGCACTCCTTGACTCTGGGCACTCGGAGGGACACACGACCAGCCGTTTCGTGCGCAATGGTTCCCGGCAAGTTCAGTGGCCATTCTGCAGATTGCCTGGCTATATTTAATGTTGATGGCCATTTTGCGGCTCAGAAAAGCCCGCAAAGATAGCAGCAGCCATTTTGAGGCTTAAAAAAGCCTCAGAGAAAAAAAGTCAACCATTTTGGACAGTTTTAAAATGTCCAAAAGGCATGAACTCTACAGCAGCCTTTTGGAGTGCCCAGCGACCCAGGATCATTTCAAATGGACCAGATCACGAGCGCCTGGCCAGCAAACGGGTGAGACCATTGCCTATCTTTATTGGGGCATTGACATATATCTGGGGAGATGGCTGATCCAGCTGTGGCTACAGATGCAGGAGGAGGCAGGGCCATCGGGGGCAAAGAGCAGCAGGAAGAGGCAAGCCAAAGAGGTAAACCCCAATGTCTCCCAAGCGACAAACTCTAACTGTCCAGCCCTCCCTCCCTCCCGAGGATCTCCAAGTTGCCTCCCCAGCCCCACCTGTCTTGCCACCCATGGGTCGTTGCCCTTCCCTGGCTGGTTCAGATGGGGAACTGTCTTCTTCAGAGTCCTCCTCTTCTATGGAACTGACAACAGAGGCAATTTCTTTAATGTCCCTCTCAATAGTGAACACACCTTTGAACAGGCTTCCCTCCCTGTTGCACATGGGTCAGGGATCCCCCAAGCCATGTACACCTCTCCTGCAGATATGGCAACTATCATTGCTGAAACCATTAAACAAGTCATGGCTGCTGGCCTACAACAGCACCTCCAACCTGCTCCATCACATGGCCATAAGCATAAATCTGCTGCTGCTGCTCAGCAACCTGATCCCTCTACCTCTACTTCTCAGGCCTCAATTGCAGGGAGCAAGACGCCCTGTGGGATTCAGACCTGTCTAACGACAAAGTGATCACTCCAGATGCCCCGGCTTTTGCCGGATTATTCAAAACTGATCGATTTAAGTCCTTTCTACTTAAGGCCATTAAAGCTGCTAACTTACCATCTTCTGCTTCAGCTTCTACTTCACAGGAAAAAACGACAGAACCAGCTTTAACTGAGGGCCCCAGTACCCCATTCACCGAACCTACTGTGGAAAAGGAGGTGATCCCTGATCCTGAGATCTTCTTGAACATCATCCAGAAGCAGTGGGAGTCCCCAGGCATGGGCCCACAGCTGACCAACCTCGACAAAAGTCTCTACAACATTGCACCGGAACTCACCAAGTTCTTCGAGACTTCCCCAGTGGATGCAGCGGTTGCACTCCTGTCTTCCCCTATTGTGGTCTCTGGAGCCCCTGATGAGGTCCTCAAGCCTGAGGAGAAAAGGTCAGACCAAACCTTAGTCAAAAACTATCAGGCTGGGGCCTGGGCTGTTAGGGCCTCTATGGCCACTTCCTTTTTCTCCAGGGCAGCTCTGGTTTAGATTGAACAACTTCAGGAGTGCATCGCTTCTACTGACAGTAGATCACATAGGAACCTCAAAAAGATTAGGGCAGCCATTGAATTTGCAGCTGATTCTTCCCTCAATGCTGCCAGGTTCGCTTCTAAAGCCATGGCCTACCATCTACCGTCTCATCCTACATCTACCGTCTCATCCTTTGATCCAGAGATTTCTTGTGGAGCATCCAATCTGCATCCCCCTGCCATTCATAGATATCCGACTTGGGACTTGCCTCGTGTCCTAGAGGCTCTGACTTCCTCGCCCTTTGAATCTATGAGATCCACTTCATTGAAACTATTGTCCTTTAAGACCTTGTTTTTGGTGGCTATAACATCTATAACATCTGCCAGATGTATTTCTGATTTGGCTGCCCTTTCAGTCAGGCAGGATTTATGTGTGTTCCATCCAGACCGAGTTGTCTTAAGACTGGACCCGACATTCATACCGAAGGTGAATAGCTGCTTCCACAGAGGTCAGGAGTTAACCTTACTGTATTTCTGTCTGTCTCCCTATCATGAGAGGGAACATAAGTGGCACAATCTTGACGTACGTCGGGCCCTCAAGATCTACATTGACTGCACCGCTTTGTTCCGCCACTCAGAAACTCTCTTCATCTCCTTTCGCCAGACCTCCTTGGGTGCCAAGGCTTCATCATCTAGTCTGGGGCGCTGGATCAGGGCCTGTATTAAACTGTCTTAGGAACTTCAGTCATTACAGGTTCCTCTAAACATTACAGCTCATTCTACAGTGTGGTGACATCTGCTGCTTGGTCCACGCAAGCCACATTGGAAGAAGTTTACCAGGCAGCCACCTGGACGTCTTCATACGTCATTACAAGTTGGACAAGTATGCGTTAGCTGACACAGCCTTTGGACGCAGGATGCTACAACAAGTGCTTGTGCCCTAACAGACCTTCTTTCATATTCCCACCCTAGGGGACAGCCCAGTCTTTAGTACGTCCCAGTCTGGCTGCTGTCTCCATGATCACAGAAAAATGGGTGTTGGTTCTTACCTGATAAACTCATTTTCTGTTGAAGTGGAGACAGCAGCCAGCCCCACCCTGGGGCGAGTCACGCATTATCATGTTTTTGTGCGGAGGACAGGGGAACAGAGATTATGGACTCTTTTCACAATTCTCACTTGAGTCTACAGTTTCCTTCATCTGAACCTGGGGAGGAGCCACCTGAAAGGGTATGGGGGCTTTTTTTTTATTAATTTTTTTTTAATTTTTAATTTAAAACAAATACAACATCCTTCTTTACACGCTATAGAAAGTATATCAGTTGGTTACAAATAGACTTTTGCGCATCTCTTCCACAGGTTCAGATGA